GGGAGGGGCTCTCGGTGGCCCCGCGGTCCCGCTGTGGCCCCGTGGCTCTCTGGGGCTGTGGAATGCGGCTGTTCCCCCCCGCCCTGCCCGGGCTGTGCCGCTGGCCGTGTCCTCCTTGTCCCTGGGAACGTGTCCTTGTCACACGGGGATGGCCGCTGGTCCTGCCACCCCCGGTCCCCTGGCGGTCCCCTGGCTGTCCCCTGGCGGTCCCCTCGTCACGGCCCCGTCACCAAACCAATGTTTTTCTCTTTTTTTTTTTTGGCAGGAGGAGGAGAACGGGAACCGAGCAGGTGAGCGCCGGGGTGGGGACCTTGGGGACCGTGGGGACCTTGGGGACCCCCGCCCAGGGTGGCGCAGGGGTCGCGGTTAAAGGGGGGACGCGGCTGTCGCGGGTCGCAGCAGGGGCTGCTGTTGTTGTCAGCGCTGCCCCAAATAGCAGCGGGCGGTGAAGCCACGCGGTGCTTTGGTGACAGCCTGGTGGCATTTGTCACCGCCSATGGGCTCGGTGTCCCCAAACCCCCCGGTTGTCACATTCGGGGGTCTCTCCCGCAGCCGGAGGGGCTGTGGCGGGGCCGGCACCGTCCCTGGGCGAGCGCGGGGTGTTTGGGGACAGGGACACGCTCTCTGTCCCCTCCCGGAGGCTCAGGGTGACGTGAGCGRATGTGAAGGTGTCAGAACGGATCGGCGCTGGCGCGGTGACGCGGGGCCGTGCGGGGCTGGGGGGCTCCGGGTGCATTTGGGATCTCTGGGAGCCCCCGCTGGGTCGGGTCCGTGGGGGTGGCGGGGCCGGGGTTCGGGGGGCCGGGAGGTGACTCGCTCGCTCCGGGCGGTGGCCGTGACGCGCTGTCCCCTGTCCCCGCCGGGCAGGTCCCCCCCGGAGCCGCCTGGAGCCCATGGACACGATCTTCGTGAAGAACGTGCGGGAGGACGGGCCGGCGCACCAGGCGGGGCTGCGCACGGGTGGGTGAGCGGGGCCGGGGATCCCGGGAGTGCTCCGCCCCTCTGCCGGGCCCTTCCTGCCTTTTTCTGCTCTTTTTCTGCTCTTTTTTCCCTTTTTTTCCTGCTCTTTCCTGCTTTCGCTCTCTGGCTCTGTGAGCGCTCTGCTCTCTCCGATCTCGGGGTGCTCGTTGGGGTCTCCGGGGTTCTCCTGCGTTTGGGGTCCCCTTTGCTCCCTTTGGCAAAAACTCCGCTCAAACCCTGCCCTGGGTGACCGAGGGGACATCCAGGTGCCACCACCCCCCTCGTGGTGACGCTGTCCCCTCCCCGGCTCTGCAGGTGACCGCCTGGTCAAGGTGAACGGCGAGAGCATCATCGGCAAAACGTACTCGCAGGTGATCGCCCTGATCCAGAACAGGTCAGTGCCCTTCGCGGGTGGGAGGTGACAGGGTGGGGACACGTCACTGCAGCCTCTGTCCCTCGGGTGTCACCGGGGTGACAGGACCTGGGGCACTCGGGGACGGGCGGACACGTGCGGTCACATCACAGGGGGACAGGGGCAGCCGGGTGGGACTTTGGGGACAGMGGGGACCGAGCCCGCCCCGCCTGAGCCCGCTGTCCCCTGTCCCGCAGTGACGATGTGCTGGAGCTCTCCATCATGCCCAAGGACGAGGACATCCTGCAGCTGGTGGGTTTGCCTTGGGGACA